CTTAGCTGCTCTGCACGTGGCCTTGCCCTGGGTGGGGGCGGGCGGGGGGGCCCCGGGCAGGGGAGCTGGTCCCGACGCCTGGCTCACTCGCCCGTGTCTCAGGGCAGCGTGGGAGAGCCAGGACGGCTGGGTGAAACCCGCCCTTCTCGGGGGACGCCGCGGGTGGGGACTCTGCTAAAGGTCCCCGCGGTGGAACCTGGGCCCTCGGCCCCCACACCGGCAGTTCTGCACACTCCAGGCCCCCGGCCCCACCACCCGAGTTCGGGAGCCAGGCCTCTGCCAGGCCGGTGGCTCTGTCCCCCGCTGGGAGGGCGGCGAGGCCAGGAAACACGGTGTCCTCAGAGCTGGCTGCAGAGAAATGGCTCTTGAAACAGCCGCGTGGAAACAGCAAGGGCAGCCTCGGAGCAGAGGCAGAGCCGCAGGAAGGAAGGTCATTACTGTCAGGAAACAGGCTTTGGATGCCGGCCGGGATTTAACCCTATGCACGTACCTGGAGGCCGGGCCGGCACGCGCCCCAGGAGGCGCAGCTTGGACCCTCACTCACGGTATTTTCTGACGTCGCTGCGTCCAGGGTATTTTTCCAGCAGACGAGTCTTGCTTGCTGCGTCTGCCTGATAATAAACGGATGGCCCCCCCTGCTCGGATTGCATCAGGAGCTCTGGAAACTGAACCCTTCCCCTCCCTCCGGCCAGCTTCCGGAACCGGCTCAGAGGACACCCTCTGAAAGACACGCTGTCCCCCACCGTGTGGAGCCTGCCTCCTCACTCCCATCCCCTGGGCCCGAGGCCCCGAGCACCCTGCGAGCCCTCCACAGCCCCAGGGAAGGGCCAGCTGCCCTGAAAAATCACCCCAGCTCTGGAGAGTTGTCCCGGCCTCCGGGGTTGGCAGGAGACGGGCTGCTGAGGGCTGCACGCACGTTCCTGCTGTCTGGGCGTCATCAGGCTTGGGTCAGGCCCTGGGAGTGGCTGTCCTTCTGAGGTCCTCTGTTCCAAGTGTCCACCCACACCCCGTCTCAATGAGAGGGCGACTGAGAATGTGCCCGGGGCTGCCCTCAGCCACGCCTGGGAGAATGGACTGATGGGGTAAAAGGCCAGCCTGGTCACGGCAGCACGGGCCACAGAACGTCATGGCTCCCGGTGTCGGCATGGCGCTGGCCAGCTTGGGGTGGTCTGGAAGGGCCTGCCGGCGCTGGTGGGACAGCGTTCTGGGCCAGGCAGGCCAGGGCTGCAGTGTCGCTCAGTGTAGACCCTGGAGGGGCATGGAGGTCCCCTCCCCATGTGTGGTCCCCTCCCTTCCCAAGGTGGGAAGCTGGGCGGGGATTACTCACCCAGGGTCACAAAGCTCAGTGTGGACCCTGGAGGGGCATGGAGGTCCCCTCCCCATGTGTGGTCCCCTGCCTTCCCAAGGTGGGAAGCTGGGCAGGGATTACTCACCCAGGGTCACAAAGTGAGTTCTCAGCAGGGCCGGGCTGATGGCCCTGCCCTGAGCCGGCCAGTGCCTGCTGTCCAGAGCATGCCTTCCCCGGGCGCTGACCTCCTGGTCCACTTGGCCGCTTAGTCTATGCTACTCATCACCTCGCAGACTCTGGCCTCTTTAGAGGTGACCAGAGACACCAAATGGGCCCCGGGCCAGCCACCTCCACCTCCTGATGGGAAAGCGCACTCACCTCTCCTTAGCATTCGCTGGCCAGGGCCACATGCTGGACACGGTCGGAGCTTCCGACTCCCCCACGAGAGGACGTGTCCTGTCTTCGGGGTATTCGGGGAGGGTCGCGGGGGTGAGCTGGCCACAGGTGCCTGAGTGAGTGATACTGGCCACTCCCTGTCCCCCC